TATAATTTCAAAAATCATTTCATAATTTTGAAAATCATTTCCACGCGACACGTGCTCGTCAGTGGCGTAGTCACGGGCGGGGGGGGGGGAAGGTGGTGTTGTAGTCTAGAATCCCAACTCCTGCAGTAAAAAATGCCTATGGTTGCTGAAAGCAAATTTGAAATTTAATTAATTTGCGCACGTAGCAGCAGTCATGACCGACTTCAAAGTTCAAATATGGCGGCCAAGTGAGCTTCATTCTTTTTATTACAAAAACGAAGACATCATGCTATTTTGCCGTTGTATTTGAGTGTACAGTACAACGTTTTACAAAAACATTTTTTCAATCTAACAACATTAGGGACTTGAAAATGGCTGTTTGTGGTTGTAACTTTTCTTCAAACCTCGTCCTAAAATACGTGAAGTAGCGTTCTAATGAATTTAGAAATTCAAAATTTTCCCGGGGGGGCATACCCCTGGACCCTAAATTCCTCGCCTTCGAAATGTCATAAACATTTTGGCCAGCCCCCCCCCCCCCCAAGTATAGACCCCATTTCGCTGACCTCAGAATGACATTTCGTCAAAACTTTTTTCTTCAAGATTGGTTTAGAAACAAATTTGGAGTAGGGTAGGTTAGGGTTAGGGTTAGGGTTAGACGTGGTGTTTGGAGTAGAGTTAGTGTTAGTAAAACCGTTGCTTTGTTACGTTTTGTCACTATGAGGCCAGCGAAATAATCTCTTCCTCATGCTAGGCCACTAGTGTTCGTCCAATGAGACGCAAGAAAACATGAACTTGACACTTGGTATATATATAATACATTTTCAGTGCTAATTTAATGCAACTTGAAACAGAATGTTTAGTTTATTTGCGTGTTTAGTCATTAAGCATTATTAGAACTGAATAAATGACATAGAACATCGACATCGTACATGCAAATGAGTCTTTTTCGATTCAGTATTTTTTAGAAACTGTATGCATAATTATTTATCCCCACTGAATTTGATATTCCTGACTAATACATAAACAGATAATATAATTTCTTAAAAACTTCGCCCACTTTATTGTTTCAGCAATTCAGGACTATTATCATCAAATCAAGATGATAAAAGATAGTGCTGCACTTCAATAGTTATTTTTGATAAAATATTATTTCAGAGACATCATCTACAGTAAAATGAACAGTTTTTTTATAAGACGCCTTAAGTAAACATAATTTGAATTTCAGTTTTGACCACCTGCCCGACAGCATGAGGGCACATATCGCTTTTCCGTTTGATGAAGTTGCCGCCTAATTTTTTTTTAAAAATGTCTGCAAGTTTACTTCCCGAGACACTATCTGAAGAGTCTGACTGTCTTGTGTAAAACAATATTTATAGTTTGAAATTTTCAATTCCCAGTCTTTCCACGCATACGAAGAGCGCTTAATCCTAGGAAGAGGTTATTTCGCTGGCCTCAGAGTGACAAAACGTAACAAAGCAATTACTAACACTAACTCTACTCCAAACATCAACTCTAACTCTAACCCTAATCCTTACCCTAACCTAACCTAACCCTACTCCAAATTTGTTTCTAAACCAATCTTGAAGAAAAAAGTTTTGACGAAATGTCATTCTGAGGTCAGCGAAATAACTTTTCCTTAAATACTTTAAAATATATTCTGAAAAGTAAAAAAAATCAAGTAAAAAAATATACTGTAGACGTTGTTTGGTTCACTATTTCGTATCTGGAGGTTTACTATTTCGTATATATATACATTTATATGTTATGTTGTGTTATTTCATCAAATATTTTGCGGTAAAGACCAAGTCAGTAAGAGTAAACAAATATGATATTAATATATGTTCAGTTGATATGAAAATTAATTGCAATATATATTGCGTATACCAATAACTGAATCATCAGTAAAGAACGCTCCTTAATAAAAAGAGAATGGTTAATCTCAATGACGTTTACAGTCATTTTCAATATCACTTTTAATTCAGTGCTTTTTCTGGCATATATATGACTGATATACATAAAAATTGTATGCCGACCGATTAACATATGAATCAGCCTAAACGTATAAGCATGATATCCGAAAAATGAGTATTCAATCATATATATATATATATATATATATATATATATATATATATATATATATATATATATATATATATATATATATATATATATATATATATATCGGATATACCAATTTGTGAATATTACATAAAACAATATATAACAATTAACAAATACATCCACAGCAAAATATATATTTATTTTAAATTACTTTAAAAAATGGTACTCCTCACCTAAATCTTTCTTGGTCGTTAAAACAACAACTTCAGACCACTTCAAACGGAGCTCTGGATGACATGTTATACTTATAGTTATACAAACTTAAAACATCGTTTTGAAATGAATAATTTATCGGTTACTATATATATCGAAACGTTTACTTTTCTTGAAGGCCCTCCCACTGCCAACACAAGCAATTATTTATAATTTATAGTAGTCTAATATGCTAAATAAAGGAGTAGACATGAGAGAATTCCACGCGGGACTGATTTGAGAGCGTGCGCGACCAACGAACGCACACGTCAGCAAACCGTTAGTGGGTAGTGTGACAGAGTAGAGACATGCAGAGACGTAACTAGTGTACCCACTTTTTCTTGCGCATATACTCAGCAAGTTACTAGATGCATGCATCTGATTGGATGACGACCTGATGACGACTCACTTTAAACTTGCTGAACACGCGCAGTTGATCATTTTTCGCCCGGTCGCCTGAAAAAAAGTGGATACATGATAACGTAATCTTCCGCAGTGTTTACAACGGTCAGTTACGTCTCCGTATGTCTCTACTCTGTGGTAGCGTCAACAAACAAAACTGGGTAGTTCCTCGGGTAGAGGAGAAGTGATCACGTGATCGGCTAGTTGTGTTGTTTGTGGCGTCAGATATAACCAAATCCCTATCTCTAAGCCTAATCCTTACCCTAACCCTCACCCTAACCCTAACCCTAACCCTAACCCTAACCT